CGGCTTACATGTCTCACTCTGGCGAAACCTGTGAACTCTTGTGAAGCTGGAACAAGGTAGTCAAGCCATCATGTTAAAACCTGTCGAGAAGAGGCTGTCTAGATAGGCCGACACGTCGATGGGAAGTAGCAAAGTGCAAAATGCCCCCCCCCGTCGACAAACTGCGCCCACGAGTTATTGCAATAAAGGGCATAGCCCAGTAGAGGGGATTCAACCTCACACTCGCACAATCTGGACCTGTAGTGGCTCCACTTGCACCATCAAGTGAATGAGAAAAAATCTCCAAATTTTTGTTTCAGATTTGGCAGAGATCCAGATGCGTCACCTTTAATTCGTTTTGGAAAGCGATCACCGGCTGCTCCACTCATTAGGTTAGTCACTTCTTACCTTTGCATTGTTTCCGAAATGCCTCATACTTCTTTTCCAACTAAGAAACCACCTTTGAGCGGGAGAGGATGTGGGGGGTAGGAGGGGTGAACAGTGAAATGTGAAAAACCAAGGAATGCACTAATCAAAAACACGTTCCTCAATAGCAGATAGACCCCCTCCGTCCACCGGCCACATAGGGCTCCCTTCTCTGTGGATGCCCTACGTAAGATATATCCTGCAAAACTGAGTCGCTCCGTCGAGGGACTGAACTCTTTCCACAGTGAAGTACGAACTGAAAGCTAAGGGATACCAAAAAAATTCGGTAATAATTTCAGGTTTGGACGTTCCCCTCACGCTTCACCACTTATTCGATTTGGCAAGAAGTAGAAGCACAGGTAACGACAAATCTTTTTTCATCAGCAAAGCCGTCTTAAGATCGTTTTCCTTTCAGAGCAAACGGTGCTCGGATGGTCTATGGCTAGAGATCTCGCACTTCTTCATTCCATTACGTGATCCGTTGTGGTCGTTGATGCCACGTACACTCGTACCCTAAACTCCAATCAATCTTTCGCGTCATGTTCAGCCAGCTTGTTCTATTTCTAGTTGAATACAATATCGTTAATACCGAGTAAACTGTATTTGTACACGAAACGATTTCCTGGACTCGCTAAACAAAAGTAGTGCTTGCGCCATCAACGATTTTTTTCTGTATATTGTAAATAACGCAAGCAGGCTATTCGGCTTGGGAGGGTCATTTTGCCTTCCCGCTGGCCGCTAGTTCCTTCTGCTAGTTCATGCTAACTAACAGGTATCATTCTGATGAGACCTGTAAATTCTTGTGGAGCTGCGAAATGGTACAAGTGAACCACTTCGGCTGCAAGGATTGACAGGTCTTCACGGGATAACCTGTGCGGCTTCGCTGAGTACCATTCGAAGCCTCCAAAGCCGAACTGCGCCCGAATAGACTCCCAAAATATTTGCTGCATAGGAATTAAAGGAGCGGTAAGCAATGACCTGATGAAAATGCAGAAGTGTATGTGGACGAAAAGTATGCGCGGTCCAGAACGGGACAATCGACGTGCCCAGTTTCCCCGGGCGGAAAGTTACCCATAAGGGATTAAGGCGCAAAGTTGCTTCAGTGGTACATCCCTTTTTCCAGTGGCTCCGCCTAAAGACTCCGCCTCCAAAGTCGGCCTTCCAGCCAAAAGTAATGCTCCCGGGCAAGTATTGTGGAGAGGATGCATTCAGTTTCTCTTGTAGAGTCACAGGGTCCATTACTGGGAGATCGCCGACGCTGGAATTCTTCCATGCGCGCGTCTTTTTCGGTCTTTTACCCTCGTTGGGGCATAGGAGGAAGGACGAATGCGTTATCAACGGTTGCCTTTGGCTTTTCTCCTAACATATAGATGGTTCACTTGGCGGAATTTTCTTCCACATTTCTGCAAAATCACCTGGACTTTTTATAGCGATCCGTGCCTTTAAACGTCAAGGCGGTAAGAAGAGAAATGCGGTTGAGAGGGTTTTACCTAGTGAATAATCAGAAAGTATGTCAACTCAAAAGAGCAGATCCGATAAAATGTCTTGGTTGCGGGCAAATTTACGGTCATGTGGAGTCAGTGAGGGTGTGTCGATGTTCAAGTAACTTTTCCTATCCTCCTAGACGCATGCGATGTCAAATTGCTGGCCGCGGAGTGTAAAAGGCTTGGCTGGGCTGGGCGTGAGCCAACGGAATTCGACCCCCGGATCGCCTTGGTGGGAGTGCCACCTGCTACTACGTCATCACAGCCGCGACAATAAAACGTACTACAAATTCTAGGTAAAACATTACGAGGAAGATCTGCTAACCTTATTGAAAGAGCGTTGGTTTTTTGGCCCAAAGTGTCCCCCATCGCGCGAATTTTTTCATATGCATGACGAATTTGTAAAACAACAAAGAGGAACCATTCTGTTAAATGCAGCGCTAAAGTTATCATATGATAAAACCTTCACGAACCTTCTACCCGAGAGTGAACTAGTTGGTTCCTTTCAAATTTTTCACTATTTACAAGCTACCTTCATGGCTTTCAATGTGAAAATTATTCGCCACTGACATGAGAATGGAGTCATGCACTTTTCGAAAAGCGTCTCTGCCAATACCTTTTTCCGTGCCTTGGTATAAGATGGGCACACGAAAACAAGAAGGCGAAGAAGGGATTTGCCAAATGGTGTTCCAAAATCCGCTTTTTGAGAAGATCTCATTAGCTGTGTAAAGCCTCCGATATCAGCAAATTAAGTATCTTAGTGAATAAAGCAAAAAACGAGTATAGTTGAATAAAACCTGCGTGAAACGCGATAGGCCGAGTTGCGTCCGTCACAGGGTACAGTATCGTGATGTGTGAAATGGT